CACACACACACACACACACACACACACACACACACACACACACACACACTTCAATTTCGGAATGCCTTGAATAGTACTTCACTAGTAGCCTCCAGCAGTATTTTTAGTCAGATGATTTCAGTCTATGACTTTTGGTCGTCAAACTAAATCAATAAAATAAAATAAAGAGGAGCTTTTCTTCTTCTTCACCCCTGAGCAGACACAAACAATATTAGGGAATATATTCTTAATTTGTTATTGTTAAACATTTCTAAATCTTTATAATTATATTAGATTTAGTCTATATTCATATAAATAATTATCTTTGTCTATATAAATCTCTGGACAACCTTTAAAATGCATTTTTATTTCCTTGTTATTTCTGGGAAATACGTCTCTTGTACCGGTGTTGAGAACAAATGGATTATTGTTTACCGTGAAGCATCTCTAGCGAGACTTTTACGTTTGCTCATTCACATTTCTGTTTACTTGTATGCAGTTTTACCTTTAAAACAGACGATTTAGAATGGGATTTACTAACAACTGAATTTTCTTGTACAGGTAAAGAATTGTATTTTATGAAAAATAAAGACACTTTACTGCACAAAACGTTTTGATTGAAAACAGTGGCGCATCTGTGGCAGCAACTCGTCCTCTCAGCTCTAATTGTCATTTCCCAGCTGTCATGAACGCATCTTTAGCGAGAGACCCTTCAGCAGAGACTCCCACATGGGGGGGAGGAGGGACCATGAAGCAGGAGCCAGGTTAACACAAGTAATACAAAGACCCTCCTTGTTATTTACTAACTTACCGGTGACCTATATTATGCTCAACACAATCTCTTTATCTTGATCTATGAAGGATGCCAAAGCAATCTTGATATTCGTTATATCAAGAAGCCGATTATGAATCAGGTGTGATAAATAACGACTGTGTGACTTTTCCCATCCGTGTATTCACTTCCCTTCCTCCTCCTCTTGTCTGTTTTTTTTCCCAATATGATTCATTGCATAGAAGGCCTGGAGATGAGAGGTCGCCTCTTCTGTCCACCATATTTGTTGTGGTTGAACTCGTGTTCGTCTCATTTTCTTTTCTTTTCCACGTTGGATGATGGCTGTTAAATACACGCATACAGACCCCCACACACACATACATACACACATTAGGAACAGAACAATATAGAGGTGACTTTGAGGTTTTTCTGCGCCGGGCAGCATGCGAAGGTTCCCAGCGAGCGTTCACACAGACAATATACAGCAGAAGTTGGTTGGTTCGTTGGTGTTGCTTGAAGGCCTCGCACTGTTTGGCCCGACAAGAGTACGTTTTTGAGTACCGAACCGCAGATCCCACAATGCACTGCAGGAGCAACAGCAGGGAGAACACTGACCTGAGAAGTTTCCATGACAACTGACAGTCTGAGAGAGAGGTGTTGGAGGGGTTGGGTTACAGGTCTGGACGCCACCACGATAGAAAATGAAGAGTTTAAAAAAAAGGCGAGTGACTTTGTGACACAACCAAGTGTGTTATTTTTGGTTCCCCAGTCACATGAGTGCTGACTGTTTTTTTTTTTTTTTTTTTTTCTCTTTCTTTTTGACACCATTTTCGAGTGTGATTTCACGTGTGCTGTGCACATTTGACAAGAGTGAAGACACACACACTGACACACACTGACGCGTGAGTCAATGAACATCGATCTCGGAGGGTCAGAAGGGTCACGTTGAAACCCAAACCCCCGCAGGTGACGACGACTAGTCCAGTTCTGCCGCGGTGCGTGACCCGGTCTGCGTTTCAGTGCCTCTCTGCTGCCCTGCAGTGCTTTCAGATCAGACTCCATTTAGCCATCATAAGCGGCGCATCACTCCGATCCACTGGCTGATGGCTGATCGAAGACAGGATGTCTCACTGTTGGGTGGAGGAGAAGATCTGGGCGGTACCAAACTCTTGTTTGTAGGTGAGCACCTGCTCTCTGATGCATTAGTCCAGCAGTAGTACAATATTGGCGTACCGTTGGTGGTACGTTTAAGTCAGACTTGAGCAGTACATCAGTGGTAAGTAAGACAGATGGAGGCAACACGTTTCTATTCCGCCAACTTTGACAATGACACAGGATTGTGCTTTCTACTTTCTTACCACTTACTCTATTGCTTTTATAAGTATTGAGAATAAATACAAGTCAGAAAAATTGACAGGGGGCATGATGAAAGTAACAAAACATTACAAAGCATAAATAAATGAAAAAATATCACAAACAATTATCAAAAACAAAGTTGATTTCAAAAATATAAATTAATCTCACTGTGGCCAGTGTTCCGGTTAATATCACTACATAAAAAAAGGGGTGTGATGAAAATATGTGTTTACAGGGTGTAATAAAAAAATATGCCAGTTTAACTTCAAAATAAAAAGATTCAAGAATGATTAAGGCGATATTGGTAACCTGCAACATAAAACCCAGGCAAATAACAAACGAAAATTTGAAAAAATGAAAAGAGAACACAATGATAACCAACAACAACAACATGAGAAATATCTGAGAGCCAAATGTTGTGGAGTAGTTGGAGAAACCCCATCACCACAAGCACTGCAGGTAAATGTTGTCTTAATGGCTTTGCAATGGCTGAAAAACAACCCGACCACATACTGGTTTTTTTTTCCCCTTAAAAAAAAAAAAAAAGGCTCCTCTTATTCCCGTGGCCCGATTCCTGTGTGTTGCTCCGGAAATCTCTCTTCTTTGTTATTGTTTAAGTCGTCTAGCTAAGATGTGTTTGCCAGTGTCTTTATGGCCTCTGTTAAGTAATGATGAACAGTGTAAGGTCTTGGATATAAAGTTCCATGCATTCCAAATTCCTACTTTTTTATTTTTTTGAATTCACTATATACTTCTTTAAAAGACATGGCAAGTTGAGGATTGTTGGGGTGGGGATTGAAATAAAGAATAATCAGCATTCAAGAAACGCAGAGAGGTGAGGAACCGAGGGAGCAAAAGGTTTCAACAGTTCCAATCTGGAATGTAGATAGAAACAAACCGTGGAAAGAGACGCAAGTCGACACGCTGGTTTCTCTGCGTGTCGACTACGTCGCTAGCATTGTCGTATTCATTCAATGTGACATTTTCATTAACTTCATCACAACAGGTGATGTAACAAGAGGTCTTTAGTACCAGAAAAACCTGCAGTAGCTCAGCAAGTTTTTATTCCATTTTTTCCACGCATTTCTTTTACTTTGAGAAGAGATAGAAAAGGAGGAGAGAGGCTGGTTTGTTGCTGTTATTCCTAGTTTGAGCACAGGACTGTGAAATCAAGGATCCTAGCATGCCACCATACCTGTGGTAAAGTTACCATTTCCTGCAAAGCAGGAACAAGCAGCTCCCATATAAACGGTGAAGTCGTCAGCATATAGGGAGTAGAATTGCTCCACCTTTTTATTTTTTTCCCCCCGCTGAAGCTGCAGTTTTAAATCCACATGTAGGGCTGAGGTGGTCCAATGCTTCCATTGGTTCTACTCGTCTGCTACGGCTGGGTGGATTTCCGGTGATGTAAGTGGAGCTCCCTCTACTGGCATGGAGGAAGAGCAGCAAAAAGAAAAAGAAAACTTGTTTCTTTGAATTTTGCTGTCATTTTTGGCTGCCAGAAGCTCTTTCGTGTTGAAGGGCCGGAGAAGTGTTCAACTGCTACAGGTCGGTTCCGCAGTAGTTTGGTGGAGACAATTCCTTTGGCTGGGGGACGCTGGATGGAGGATAGTCCTTCTAGAGATGGATGTTGGCTCGACATGGTCTGTGAAAAATACAAAGAGGCAATTTAGTCAAAACTATTGAACCCAACCCTTTGATATGTTCATAAAGATATTTGTAGATGACAGTCGCAATATGTGTATTCAGATGATACTCACATATGAACACCATAGTAAACATTGTTTAGCACTGCTGTCCTTCCCATATGGAGTGTCAACAATATATTGAATAGAAGACCTCTGTACACTAAATGGTTACTGCCTCGACTTATTCAACCATTGACAACACAGACTATAGAATACAATAGAACAGGCAGGACAGGGGAGATTACACATCAGTCTAAATCAATGATTCAGTGCGTAGAGTCTAATTTTGTTGATCAGTTGTCTTATATTCCAAAGCTGCTTGAGAGTCATTTGTGGTCAAGGAATTTTGTTCGGGGTCCCTTTTTTAATGACAAAGATGCACAGGGAGCCTCTCTATTCAAATGAAGGGGATTTGCTGGATAGAGCTGTCATGCAGTAAGAATGAAGTTGGCCACTAGATGGTGGATAAGTTTAGGAAATGCACTGCTGATCTACAGTTTACTGTACATGAAGGCTCGCAGTCATCCAGCTCTTTTTGCCAAAACTCTACACACAAAAAAAACTAAAACATATACACAAAATACGAAATATCTTAAGTTAACACAACTTTATGAACTCCTTCGCACTCACACAAAATACATTTTTCTTTCCACATGCCAACTGCACATTGATGTGCTATGAACACAAATCCAATGGGGCAACAAACAAATGTGTTTATTCTCAATACTGTATGTATATGATAGTATCAGGCAAAACTACTGTAACTGAAGATGACATGAACATACAGTTACTGTATTGTACTGTCAACAAAATGCAGTAATTGTCGTGCACACCATAGAGCAAACCTGATTCCTGTTTAGAGTGACCAAGCTCTGATTTCTAAGTGGTTGCAGGTGTTTTCACAGGTGCATTCTGGGTGCAGGTGATTTTTATGTGTATTCCATGTATCCATTACAGGAGAATTCTCCCCTCACATCTTCCTACACGTAGCTGCAAAGAGCAGTCAGGATAGTGGAAGCAAAAGCAAGATTGAAAAGAGTTTTTCTAGTCTATAAAGTAAAATGGACAGTAAAAAAGATTATTCAAATGTTTTTAGTGAGTATTTCCAACATGAACCATCTGTACTAGGCAGCAGAAGAGCAGAGATGTTCCAAACATCCCCAGACAACATGTCAGCCTGTGCTGACACAGCACCCGTCTATATAATGGGAAGGGCACATGTTATGTTGCTGCCTGAAAGAGTGAACTCACTTTTATAATCTGGCTTCACAGCTCTGTGTTAGAGGCCTTTCATTGTGAAAACCTGTCGTGCTTTAGTGTCTTTCGTCTTAGTATTTGTTCAACTATAATTCATTCCACAAACTGAGACCTGCGCACCATCGTTCTCATTCTTGCTTTTGCACATAACCCTTCCCTCCCTGCTTCAGGCAAACAGAGTATGAGAGCACTTCAGTGTATAAATATAGACACTGCAGTAATTGGCCCCAATGCAAAACACCTGTGTACCCCAGATGCTTTCATCACCTGGGCCACTGTGGCCTCCAGTGTCTCTACCATGTATTTCAACCTTTACATTGAAATGCAAATACTCTGCATTCATTGCATCTGCAAGAAATCAAATGACCCAAAGTGGTTTTTGCTGACTAAACCTGTAAAAGATGCTGGTACTGTATTTTGTGTGTGATGAATTGCTGTTTAGGAGATGTATGTATGTGTGTAACTAAGATTTGTATATAATCATAAAAGACATACTATCTATTCATTCTTTGCCAAATAAGGTATCCGACTTTTTGAAGCTTCGGGAGTCTTTAATCACATCTACAGGTTGTCTTTGAACTCCTGTTTCCTGGTCGGTCCAGTTCGTTTCCCGAATGACTTTTCACTGTATGCATCTGTTTTAGAATCACTGCCTTCTGGTTCTCTCTCCCACTGTGCCTGACTCAGATAAACTGCTCCAAACATGCTGTATATTTACAGATGCCCAGCAGCAGACTTAATCTGTTCCAGTGAACACAGGCCCCCAAAGGGTTGGTACACAACAAACGGTTAGTTGACTCACTTAAGCCACAACATGGCTGAAAGGACACACACTTTTGTGTCCTTTTGGTCTGGCATTGCCTCTCATGGTTTGGGCAAGGCCCAGCAGCTTTAAGGGATTTTTTTATTTTTTTTAAGCTACAGCATATCATGATATTTTAATCAGTATTCCAATGTTGTGGCAACAGTTTGGGGAAGGCCCTTTCCTGTTTCGTCTCGACAATTTCCCTGTACACAAGTTGTTGTTGGGCTTTCCAAGTTGAATTGAAGGAAGTTGACTGATTTTCACAGAGCCCTGACCTCAACCCCATCCAACACCTTAGGGCTGAACCGGAAGGTTGACTGTGAGCCAGGCCAACATCAATGGCCGACCTCAATAGTACTCTTGTGGCTGAATCCCTGCAGCCGTATTCCAAAATCTCATGGAAAGTCTTCCCGAAGGCTGTTCTAAGATGTTTAACTATCACCTTTGAGGGTGTAATGTGTCCAGATACTTTTGGCTATATAGCGTACCTGGGACAGAATATAGTTGAGAGACATTTGTCTCCCAGGGGGGGATCCTTACAGTGATGGGAGAAAAAGACGAGACATGCTGAGAGAGAGAAAGCGAATGAGAAAGTGAGAATCCTGACAGAGCGGAGCGAGGAAAAACAGCACAGAAGTGAGAAAGCGAGAGCATAAGAAGAGAAAAAAAAAAGCAGTGATGTTTGACAGCAGTGGTGGAGTGTGGGAGGAGAGAGAGTCACATGAGGAAGTTAGAAACACGCTGAGTCCAGGCTCAGTACATTATCTTTTATGGCACATATGCAACACTGTGCCCACTCCGAAATACAGCAACATCAATGCCGGCTTATCCCCCCATGATGCATCAAAAGCTTCAAAACCCACCGCACCGAGGCAAAAGACTGTACCTCCAATTTAAAGAAAGCGTGGAACAGATGCTTCTATTTTCACTGCCCCAACTCACATAAAACACATCTACCCAGCATCAGAGCCGTACCATGAAATTAGGGGACATTATTGCTCAAAACTGCCTCCTAAAAATTACAAACATACATTGCTTCTTTCTTTCTTTGCACAATGTTACACACACTCTACGAAAAAGGAAATTAATTTGTATCTATTTTTAAATGCATATAAAGTTATTTTTTTGCTCCTTGTACGTCAAACTAAGATGCTTTGATCAGATCTTTTAGTCCCCCTTGTATCTAAAGACGTTAGTAAAAAAAGTGTTTATGTTTCAGGCTCCTTCTGATTGGAATATGTTACCTTTAAATGAATGTATAAATAGAATAAATATGTATCTCAAGGGGTTTATCCTGATATGATACATTTATAATGAATAACTGATTTGCAATATGTTTTGTATTTGCTAATGCAGATTTACGTTGAACGTGTCTGAAAAACATTCACCGTCAAACATATTTTATTTTAATCCGCTCTTGGCAATATTATATGATTACCAATTGAAGATCATCAAGATAGTGAGTAACTAATGTGGTCATCACAACTACGACGGCAGCGGTGACTGTAGGTGACTGAAGAGTCGATTGTAATCACATAAGGACATGACAACAAACCTTTCAGTGAGGTACAAATGATAAATGTGTGATACACTGAACCTCTACTTCAGCAAATTAAAGGCAGTAATGAAGCACAGCCTGACATGAAGCACAACTATTTAGGAAGAGGTTTTCTAAAATTGTTTCGAACACACTTCTGTGGCTGTCAGTTTTGTATTGTATAATTTTGTCTCACTGGTTTATATTTAGGTTGTGAGGTCTTAAAGTGTTCGTCACACCTGAGAAATAATTCAGACTTCTGTCGGTATCAAAGTGAAGATTAATAAACCCCCAAATATACCTTGAACATTTTTAGATGTAAAAAAAGCCCCAATGTGCAACAACATCACAGTCGGAACAAAAAAGAAACAAATGAGGTGGTCTGAGAGACTTCTCAGTTCGTTTGGCTCAGTGTCTCACAGAGGTGATTAAAGACACTCGGGACAGTTTCATTTCTCAGCAGCGCTTTACTTTGATCCTGTGTTTCATCAAGAGATCCAATGAGCTACAAGTCTGATTCTGATCCTCTGTTTAATGTTTCACTGTCAATTTACTCCTGTGAAGATGGAAGTTTATTTTGAAAAGACAGTATGCATGTAACAAGCGAAAACAGACTCATGTTGCTGGACTTTTGCAGGAAAAACGCACGAAAAGTGAGGAATAATATTTAGTAAGATATCAATAAAACGGGGATGAATTTATATCATTGTATAAAGAGAGTGACATGAGAAGATCAATCTCATGTCTGTAAGTTAAATCAGCTATAATCACTATTTTAAAGTGATTAGTGACTCGTCTAAAACATTTAAAAAAGGAATAACTTCAATAGAATCATTCTATACAATGTAGCTTCTTTACATTCTATTAGAATATAAAGAAGTTACATTCTGATACAATGTAACTTCTTTACATTCTAATAGAATGTAAAGAAGTTACATTCTGATACAATGTAGCTTCTTTACATTCTATTAGAATGTAAAGAAGTTACAGTGTTGCCTTTTCTTTTCTTTCCACAAGAACGTAATTTTGTCAGGTTGATAAAAAAAGTCACTTTACTTCCTGACATTATTTTAGCACAGGGGTGTCCAAACTTTTTTCAAAGAGGGCCAGATTTGATAATGTGAAAATGCCCAAGGGCCAACATTATTTTAAACAATACAAGTAGCCTATACATACATTGTTATATAATCATTTTATTTTCAATGACAGAAAATAGCAATGTAACCAAATGTAAGCATTCATGTGTGAACACATCTCAACAACTATTCTGCCTTTCTTTCACATCTTGAAAGTCAGATAACACAAAGAACAAGCCATCTAAAAGCTAATTACATAGAAACCGATCAATGTTCTCACCTCAAGACAATCTTAAATATGACTTAGTGAGGGTAATGAAAAGTTGTCTCACATTTAAGTTCAACACACATGAAACAGGCTGACGAAAAACATCAAGTTGTCTCTTAGTATCTGATGATAGCTCTTCAGTGTTACGAGCCAGGCAAACATTAGCAAACTCGGTCTTCTTCTCGGGGCAATTATGTTTTCTGCTATTTTCATAACACAGTCTTTGATAAACTCACCTTCCGTAAAAGGTTTGTCATGTTTAGCAGTTAGCATGGCCACTTGGTAGCTTACTGTGATGATGTTTTCATGTGAAAAGGACCGCTGCTGTGAGGCCAAGTTATCTTGGAGTTGCTTCACTTTTCTAGCTCGGTCGCTCTGATAGCTTGTTGTAGCATTAGCATGTTTGGTGTCGTAGTGTCTCTTTACATTATATTCCTTAAACAAGGCAACAGCCTCATGACTAATTAGGCAGACACAGTTGTTTCGGTTTTCGGTGAAAAAAATATTGCGATCTCCACCTCTCCTGGAAGCGGCGGCCCTCATTATCGACTTTCCTTTTTTTACTTGCCGTAACATGACAGGTCAAGGGTCAGAGCCCATTTCAAACAGCCAGACAGTTACAGAGTGGTGCTGCCACCATGAGGTAAAAAGAGGAATTGCATGTTGAATTGGTATGATTTATTCATTCCGTTTAGACTATGCTGGCGGGCCATACATAATGCATTTTAAGACAGAAGGTGCGGGCCATAAAATCTGACCTCGGGCCGTGATTGGCCCGCGGGCCGGACTTTGGACATGCCTGATTTAAAAGCATTTTGAACCCTTTATGCACATGTTCCACAGGCCCACCATTCTGCAGACTTTGCCTGAGGGACGTACGCACGATTTACAGCTTTGTGGCGTTAAACAGAAGACGTTAAACGGAAGCAAACAAGTAAACAAGAAGGTCTATCACATGGGGTTTTAACCTTTAAATTTACACAGAAACATTAACACTAAGGATTTAAGATAAAAAAAATATATAAAAAACATGCATAAAAAACATGAAATAAGATGAATGCAAGAGTATGCTGTATACACCTGGTTTATCTATTAATAACAATTTATTTTAATTTTTGCTATTTGATGCTGTTTTTACAAAAAACTACTAATTTGATTATCTGACTATTACCTCTCATCTCATAAGGCAGGAGCCTGAAAGACGCTCAAGTCACGCAGTAAAAAAACGTTTAAAAAAGCCCACAATTGTACAACATATTTTTGTGTTGACAAGGTAACGTGATATATCGCTGCAAAGTGCTGTCCCATTCGTATTTATACCATTTCAAGCCCTTGCAGCCTCTCACACTCAACCATTTACCAGATGACATCAGCTAAGTGCCTGAGGGTTCACACTGATACTGACGCACCAGGTTTTCAACTAACTCCGATGTAACCCATTCAGGATTTGAACATTGCTGACTGTGGTGCTCTCTAGTGTAAGTAAGGAAGACACTATGGCATACAGCAATACATGGGAAATAAATAATGATTATCGTAACAGTTTGACACAAACTACAAAGTAGATGTTGAGAATTTTACTGAATGGGGAAGTTCTACGTGTGGTTTAAAACAGATCTTGATGGGATAAGTTAGGCAAAGTTAAAAGTAACTTACTGTCCGGCCTGCCAGAGAGGGCAGCATGTTTCTCTGTGCCAGTGTGAGCTCAGGCCTGACACATAAGTATCCAGAGGGTTCCAGTCCTTGTTGGCTGCAAGAGGAAGCAGCCACATTTCAGACGAGATGTTTTTCTTAATAGAAAACATCCACCCTTTGATACATAGTTGGACAGTATTGGACTCCGTCCACTGTGTCCACATGGGCCCACAGGATAGATGGTTAATCGCAGAATTCTGCATTAAGTTAAATGGATATATTTACCATTATTCTTTGTAGACTATTTGCAAACTGTTAAATGACGAAACATGTACGACGCTTTGCCATTCCTGAACCTGCCACAGTTTTAAAATGATTGGACACCTTTTCCTATTATTATTTGCGGGTAACTTCTTGGCTTTACATAACATGATGAGGATCACCAGAAGGCACAATTAGTTTTGTTCTCTTTAAGGTTATGCTGTGCTCATTTCATATCGGAGTTACAGTAGTTTCCAGTTTCTGATTTTTCAACAGCGTTCATGTCAAAATACAAGTTGTAGTTACAACATGAAAACTGAAAAATGTATTTGTCTGAAAACTCTGATGCGTTCTCACTTGAAGCGTAATGACACAGAAGTGCCTTAAAAGTAAACAAACATGGATGCCTCATGTCAGCTAAAGCCCATTGTTCATGGTAATAAAACCCCAATTTAAAAGTGTTACACTTTTAACTCTCAAATGGCCAACTCCCATATGACACTTATGTGCTATGAAAGTAGATTCTGGGATCGAAAGTTACTGTTGCAACCAATCGTGCAGTTCAACCACAGCAGCAGCTGATCTTAATAATCAGCTCTCCTGGTTGATGGTGAGGTAATTAGTAAAAACAGCTGGTGAACAAAAACCTGCAGACTGTTGTCTGGCCAGAAACAGTGGTAGAAGATACAATTACCTACCAAGATATACAGTGTTTGCATGTTATGACAATTAAAGTACTCACCAGTATGCTCATCTCTCCTCTCTGTTCCCCTCTCCCTCTCTCTCTCCTCTCTCTCTTTTAGTAAAACAAAAGCAGGGGGGGAACTTCACAGGTTTTTCTGGTACGGGGCCTCGTGACGTGGTCATTTAACATTTACATAGTCCTGCAAATACATGGAGACATTCAGTCAGTTTATTTGATATTTACTTTTAAATTTATGTTAGAAAAGACAGCTTGTTAACTCCTTTACTCCCTTAAATAAAGCACAGCAGGTAATGTAAGTTATTTCATGTGGGACTCCTTTCATCATTTAAGAAATGTCTTGATCAGCAAAATGCAAGTCAAGCCGCAAATCGTTCACATTCCTCAATGCAGTCCATTTAAATAACACGATACAACATGGACCATTTTCAATGCACAAGCTCATTAATCAAATATTAAGGTCTGTCCGGCGCTGTGTTATACATGTTTCATGGTTTGGGATTTTAAAAAAATCTTGTTTTTTTTGTTTAATGATTTTGGGAAGTCAAGTGTCAAGTAAATCAAAACAAAGCAACCAACTGCAAGTCAACATTTTCAAGTCCACAGCTCTGGTAGTGGTAGTGTGTACAGTGTATGTACCCTTGATTTTATGTACCCTTGAAAACACGTATCTTGTTTGATGAAGACATAGTAGGAATAAGTTGTCATTGTCAATGTTCAATTTTCACCCTGCACACGCAGAGAAGCCAGAGGACCAAAAATAAGAAGCACAGACAGAGAAGAAAATACACAAACACTCAGACAAAGACACACTGCTTTAGCTTGTTCTGAGTGAACCACTTTCAGCCCACTCTCTGCTGCCTACAAGAGTCAAAACACAACACGCGGTAACAACATCCCAGTAGACTTTGAACCAGCAGCATCTCAGAGATTTATTTTTGTACCTAATGCTTAGATGCACTTTTTCACTGAAGAAAACAAAATGTTTCAACGAGAATTACCGCCTCACACTTGAATGTCTCTGCCAATTAGTCATGTTGCAATTTACATTCATGTCCATCCAAAATGTCATCGGTTCATCATTTTATTCGATCGGACATTTGTGTGAAATTGTCATAATTAGAATGTGGATTCTTGAGTTATGGCCCAAAAAGTGATTTGTGAGGTCACTGTGACCTTTTACCACCAAAATGTGATCAGTTCATTCGGAGTCCAAGTGGAGGTTTGTGCCAAATTTGAGGAAATTCACTCCAGGTGTTCCTGAGACATCGCCTTCACGAGAATGGATTTATTTAAGAGAGTTCTACATAAAAGACCTCCGAGGATTTCATAAATAACGAACGCAATCTTCAGCTCAGGCGAGACAATAAATTAAATTGAGTTGAATTGCAAACTTCTCCTTTTAAACTGCTTGAAGGAAGCTGCTTTGAATATAAGAACCTCGGCTAAAACCTTTTCCATCAAATAAAAGCCACAGTAGATAATAAATCACCTTCCAGTTTCCTCGTCTGTTTTCAGTGCCGCTTCTTTTATATTTGATCCGTCTGCTGCAAGTCTGACTTCGCACATGACTTATTGATATACATCGGAGAAAGAACGGAAGAAAACACGTACCTTAATCTCAGCGCCTCAGAATAAGGAGGAGAACTTCTTGCCAAAACCGGTGAGAGCTGGAGGAAAGTGAAAAAGAAATGGAGATTAAATAGATGTTAACTGAGGGGTGAGAACTGAGGGACTTACTAGTAAAACTTGAACGTGTCATGAGATCGAAAAAATAATTTGTTTGCATTCTTAATGATGAGGCTTTTACTTTTTACTGGACAGCCCATTGTAGGATAAAAGCATCTCATATTTTTCTGTTTGGTTGATATGCAACTTGAAAGCACTGAGTTATTGCACTGACTTTGCAATAGATTATTATTATAATTATTACATTGATGTTGCAGTCACTTTGTGTCTCTTTTTAGTCATTTTTTGTCTTCATAGTCGTCTCTTTGTAGTCATGTTTTGTCTCTATAGTTTTGTGTCTCTTTGTAGTCATGTTTTGTCTCTATAGT